TGCAATTCAATATTAGCCGTTGATGTTGGATCATACTGGGCTATAATCCTGCTAAGTGGCTAATCATACAAACTGTTGTTATGCCTCAGCTTTTATGTCACCACAATGCTTAGGTAAATGACACAATGCCCAAGACATAGAACGAAGGATGTGAGATATTGCCTTTGTAAAACTTCCAAATTTTGCTTTAATTTCAGGGGTACATGTTTGGGATGTGCAGGTTTGCTACACAGGTAAAGCTTGGTCTCAGTGATTTACGGCACAGATCATCACATCACCCAGGTTTTAAGCCCAGCATCCGCTAGATATTCTTCCTGATCCTCTGCCCCCTCCCACTCCTGCACTCCAGTCGGCCCAGGTGTGCAATGCTTCTCCCATGTTTCCATGTGTTTTCATCTTTTGGCTCCCACTTATAAGTGAGAACATACGGTATTGGTTATCTGTTCCTGCGTTAGTTTGCTAAGCATAATGGGTGCCACCACCATGCATGTCACCGCCAAGGACATGATCTCATTCTTTTTATGGCTGCATAGTGTTCCATTGTGTATCTGTGCTACATTTTCTTGACCTGTCTTATCATGGATAGGATGGACATAGCAAATATCACAAATACACGTGGTACTTGCTGTGGGAAATATCGCACTGTGGTGGGACAGACAGACAAACAGAAGAGCAGTTGAAGTGCAGAGGAGAAACACAGGGAGGGGAAACAGAGGAATAAAAAACAATTAATGTAGCGGCCATGAGGCAGAAGCAAACAACACAAATTTTTAAAAAAGATAATCTTTATCTATTGCCTTTGCCCCTTTTCTGAAAATCAGCTTCTTATGTCTGTGAGTCTGTTGCTGGACTCCATTTTGATCTGTTGATCTTTCCCCAATACCACACTGTCGTGAACACTGGAGAAGTAACACAATTGCCGTATGGGGCTGGATGATTAAAAATCCTAATCAACAGCTTCATACAGTGCTCCTAACACTAGGCAGGGCCCTCGCCTCAGCTGAGGATCCCATGTCTCCCACCTTCCCAGGGGCTTTGCTCTTGCAGTGATCACTCCTCTCTCCTGAACCATCAATGGCTCCCTGTATATGGGATCAATCCCTAAGACAAGAAGGAAGTCACCTTCTTCCAATGCACTGAAAACATAATCAATAAACAAATAACATAGACTTAATGTGAATCCTGCCATCAGGTAGGGTGAATTCCCCAAAGTTATATTTCAGAATCATTTTGGATATTCTGGTTCATTTTCCTTTGTAGATAATTTTGAAACTGGAGTCTAATGAACTGTGTTGCATAAGTTCATGCAGTTTTCCTCTGCGGGAAAGCAGATAAATGTGTTAGTAGCTACAAAATGACATGGGGTGGGGTGGGGGGGGGAGGAAGTGAGTTTTCCCTTAGCTTGGGTAATGATCCAATGTAGGGGGAGCAGTGGGTGGTTCAGGAGAGAGGAGTGACCACTGTAGGAGCGAGGCCGGTAACAAGTTGTGAGGCATGGTATACTGACCTGAGGTGAGGGGGCTGGCTTGAGTCAGGAGTGTTGTATGCGGAAGGGCAGCAGAGAGTGTCCGTGAATCACTGAAGGTGAGGGTGGCCTTGGGGGTCCCTGACACAGTCGCAGCAACGGTGTGATTCACCAGCAAGGCCGTGACTCACTATAACATGGTGAAATCTTTCTTTGAATAAAGGAAGAGTCAGGGGGTAGAGATGGCGAAGTTGTCACTCTTGGGAGCCTATGGATTTCTCCATAGTGTGAGGCCACAGCCAAGCTGTTGTCTATTATGAGAAGTACATGTACTCACAACATTTAGCAATAATCCCTCCGACTGCAAGAGAACTGGCTCACTGGATCACTCAACCACTGTTCTGCACAGGATAATGTATAGGGGAAAAGTGCAGCCTGGTGCTGACTTTAATTTTTGTTTTCTCCTGCAGGCAGGTAGAGATAAGGCACAATTGTTGCCAATGGACTTTCAGTAGGTCAAGAATCCTGAACGTTTGAATTGCCCTTTCCTCCAAGTGAGAGGGAAAAAATCAGTTTCCTGGGCTGGAGCAAACAAAGACTTAGATAAACCTCAAGCCAAAGATAAAGGGAAAAAAGGCCACATGCAGTGGCTCACATCTGTAATCCCTGTATGTTTGGATGCCGAGGGAGGAGAATCCCTTGAAGCCAGGTGTTCCCGACCAGCCTGGACAACACAGTGAGACCCCTGCTCTACACAATTTTTAAAATTAGCTGGGCATCGTGGCACATGTCTGTAGTCCCATGTACTCAGGAACATATAGTAGTAGGATCGCTTGAGCCTGAGTCCTAGGTTGCGGTGAGCCGTAAGTCCTGCGGTGTACTCTAGCTTCGGCAACAGACAGAAACCCTGTCTCAAAAAGTGGGTGGGTGGGTGTGTGAAGACACATTCCAGCCTTGTCTTCAGCTGGGATGCCACTGTGGGTGTCCAAACATTTGAGGTAGAGTCTCTTTTGGCCATGGAACTTTTAAGTCTGTGAATGTTGAATTTAGTGCTAGAGGTTTGAGGGAAATTACAACGAGATTTAAAAAACGAGTACAGTTGATTTTGCTTTTGTTTTTGTTTTGAGATGGAGTTTTGTTCTGTCGCCCAGGACTGAGTGTAATGACGCAATCTCCGCTCACTGAAACCTTCACCTCCCAGGATGAAGCAATTCTCCTGCCTCAGCCTTCTGAGTAGCTTGGATTACAGGCACCTGCCACCATGCCTGGTTGAGTTTTTTTTTTTTTTTTTTTTTTTTTTTTTTTTTTTTTTAGTAGAGATGGCATTTCACCATGTTGGCCCGGCTGGTCTCAAACTTCGGACCTCAGGTGATCAGCCTGCCTCAGCCTCCCAAAGTGTTGGGATTACAGGCGTGAGACACCGTGCCCAGCCAAAAACGGGTACAACGGCTTTGTGTTTTGTGGCTGTTACATCTGGATGTGTGATATTAATGGAAAGCTCCAGCAGTTTGACTACTTAATGTAGTTGCCAAAAGCAAGGAATTCATCTTTTCTACAATTCTCACAGGATAAGTGGTAAAGACAAAACGGATGGATGTTATGGAAACCGATTTTTAAATTTTTTCCAGATTCAGGATTTCACCCTGTCCATTTCATAAATATGATGAATCTTTTCACTAAGTTTACCTTATAATGTGTTTTTCAGAAGATACATTTTCCCTTCTGTTCACAATCTTTCTGGAAAAAAAAAAGGAAATGAAATTTCATCTGGACTATGAAATGAAATGATTAAAGAGATAAAAACTTTTCATCACAGAATACTCTAGGCTGATGTTTTAATAGTGGAGAAAACAGAAAACCTGGCACATGAGCAGAGGCAAGGGAGGGAAGGAAGGCATTGGTTGTCACTGTTTTTCAAAATTGTTACTGCAAACTCTGCACCTTTCCTCAAGAAATACTTCCCATGCAGGCTTTCCAAGCCACTGTGAGCCAATGGTAAAACCACACTCACGGGTGGGCCAGTGATTACCTTACAGGCATTCAGGGAAATCAGCTACCAGTTCAGAGCTGTGCAATAACATGTGCAATAACACAACCTTAAGAATGCACACAAGTGTGAATTGATTGGGTCTACGGCATGTATAAAAAGCATGTATAAAAATTGACAGAGATGGGAGGATCACTTGAAGCCATGTGGTTGAGAGCAGCCTGAGTAACACAGTGACGCCCCCCACGCCATTTAAAAGAGTAATTAAATACACTAAATATACTAGGTGGGCATGGTGGCGGCCACCTGCCACCCCAGCTACACGGGAGGTTGCAGTGTGAGGATGATTGCTTGAGCCAAAGAGATGGAGACTGCAGAGAAGCATGGTGATGCCACTGCACTCCACCCTGGGCAACAGAAAAATACCCAGAGGAAAAGAAGTATGTGTAAATATAGACATAAAATTCTTTATTTCTGTCACAAAAGGCCTTTCTAAGACACACCCCCTACTAAGGGTGACATACAACTCTCTGTTCTCAACGTTTCTGAATCCATGAGAATGGGTGGGCAAGAGACAAACAAAAAATGTCTCGCGTCCCTTTCTTTCTACTACACACAACCGGGGATTCGGTGAGGGAACAGCGGGAAAACCCTGGCCAGACCTGCGTGCGCCTGACTCAGTGTGCATGCCCCTTGCTGCACAAGTCCCTTTGTGGGCATGCGCTTTGTCTGTCTGCCTTCTGTCCCTGCAGAGCTGTGCAAGGAGACGTAGTGATTTCCTTCTGCGGTGCCCACTGGGACTCAGCCAGTAGGTTCGCAGATCAGTCCTCCCAGAGTTGAAGTGTGGGAGAGTGTGAGGAGGAGCCCGTGGGCGCCGTCCACGGCCTCCTAGGGGAAAGGACCTTGCGGTCCCTGTCTTTCTCCCAGCAGGCCAAGATGCAGCATTGTCCTTGCTGTAGTGGGGGTCCTGGACAGGGAAGGTAGCGGGTCCATAGAGCAGAAGAGGGCCTCGTGAACTTGGAGTGGGTTTTGAAGGGGAAACTCTTTGTGGTATTTGAGTCCCGAAGGCACAGGAAACCACCCACAGAGGGCACATTCTGAAGTCCTCAGTGGGGACCTGGGACAGGGCGCAGAACTGTTGGGTGCAGGTGGGGTGGGGTAGGCGGGGCACGGCTGGGCGTGGCGAGGAGGCGGGGCCACAGCCCACAAGGCGGGCACCAACTTCACTGCGCATGCTCTCGGTGCACCCACCTGCGTGCGCGCGTGTTCACTGGGCGGCTTCCCATCGGCCCCTTCGCCACGTGGTGAACGTCGCGGAGCTGTGAGGGTGTGAGGGTGTGAGGGTTACTTTACTGCAGTCCAGACCGTTTCTACCGCTAGTGAGACTCAGCTGGTAGGTCCACAGACCAGTCAGTCCTCCCAGGAGTGGAAGTGTGAGCGAGTGTGAGGAGGAGCTTGTGGCTTTCCAGGGCATGGGGCAGCGTGGTCCGTGGCCTCCCACATAAAGAATCTTGAGGTGATAGTCCTCCTCATGCCCGGGCGCCATCTTGGTCCTTGTGGTGGGTTCCGAACGCCGGAGGAAGTTGCGCTGTGGAGTTGTGGCGTCAAGTGAGGACGGGGAGAGTGCTAGGGATGCTCTTGGAGGTATCCACGTCTTGAAAGGGCCTGGAACCCCGGAGAGAGGACATGTTCCAGACTCCTTCGTAAGGACTTGGGAAAGGGCTGGGTGGGAGGTAAGGAGAGGTTCTTGAACGCAGTGGGTTAGAGACGGGAGCTCACAGGTATATAGAGCGCTTGGCACAGGTGTCCAGTGAGGAGCGCCCAGGGCTTCGTCTCGATGTCTCAGTTCTACAGTGGAGGTTTGAATGAGTGGGACCATGCGTTCCAACAAAACTTGATTTTAGGTGGGAAATGGGCTTATCAGATGGGTGTGTAACAAAAGCCATGGTCACTGCAGTTTTAATTCACCAGCTGTATGTTTTAAAGATCTCCACTATGAAGAGTCCAGTTGTGAAACCAACCTCATTGGAAATAACCCTGTGTCATTGGCCAGGAGCCTTAAGACATTGCTTAGGTAGCTTGACCAATTTAAGGGAGTGTGCACGCATTCGATTCAGAAGGCACACACACTCACTTGCCCCGAGACTTACTTCCAATGTATTACCAAATGTTTTGTAAAAATTGCAAGTTGGCATTTCACTATGGAAGTGGTCAGATATACCTACCCTGTCAAGTGCATTTTCCGAATCGCAGCTTTCCGTTTGCATTGTGAAATGTGAATTGGCAAGGAAGATCAAGATAGGCCTATACCGAGGCGATATGTACAGTGGACTCAGCGGGTTAGGCCCACGGGCCCATCACACTGGAAGCTGAAGTGTGAGTGAGGGTGAGGAGGAGACAGCAGGCTTCCGAGGGTCGTGCCTCTTGGTCGGTGACTCCAAGGGAGAAGGGCCTTGAGGCTGTCGTCCTTCTCATGCGGCTCCATGGCTATGGGCCTTCTTGTGTTGTGGGAGTCAGAAAGTACCAAGAAGAAGGGCCTTGGAGTGGGCGGCAGGGGCCGGGGGGCGGCAGTTAGGTGAAGCTGTGGCGATGCTGGGCTTCTGTTGGCAGTATCCAAGTCTCAGAAACGCCTGGAACCCCTTCCAGAGGACAGATTCCATACTCCTCAAGGGGGATCAGGGCTGCGACGGCGTGGGTGGTAAGGAAGGGGCCTGGAAAGCGGGAGCACTCTGGGCTGGTGTTCGCAGCCCCAGGGTTTGTATAGCGAACCTCAGAGGTGCCAGCCCGGTGAGGACCCCCCACAACTGTGTGGCAACTTCTCAACTCCATCTTGGAAGTTCGAGTGGACGGGTGGGGCTCACCATTCCAACAAAACTTCATTTTGGAAGGGAAATGGGCCTAGCAAATGCCTGTGTGACGAAAGCTGTGGGCACTTAAATTTTAATTCTCAAGCTGTATTTTCTTAATTGTCTCACTAAAAAGAGACCAGTTATGAAACGAACCCTCATTGGAAATGCCGTGTGTCTCTTGCCATGAGCCCTAAGGCATTGCTCAGCTAGCTTGATAAGCTTAGCTGGTTGTGCAAGTATTCGATTCAGAAGGCATACACACTCATACATGCCCTCTGACTGACTTTTCAATGTATTACCAAATTTTTTAAAATTGCAAGTTAACATATGGCCTTGGAAGTGCTCAAATATAGTATCCTCTCACGTGCGTTTTTCCGGTCACAGTATTCTGGGGTTTTTTTGTTTGTCTTTGGTTTTGTTTGGTTTGGTTTGATTTTTTTTGAGATGGAGTTTTGCTCTTATTGCCCAGGCTGGAATGCAGTGGCGCAAACTTGGCTGCCTGCAGCCTTTGCCTCCAGAGTTCAAGTGATTTCTTCTGCCTCTGCCTCCCTACTTGCTGGGATTACAGGCACCTGCCAGCAAGCCTGGCTAGGTTTTTGTATTTTTAGTAGAGACAGGGTTTGACCTTGTTGGCCAGGCTGGCCTTGAACTCCTGACGTCAGGTCGTCCACCCACTTCGGCCTCCTCAAGTGCACACTGTTCTATTTGCAGAGTGAAGTATGAGTGGGAGAGAAAGAAAACATAGACCAATGCGACATGTGCGACTTGTTCAGCTGACCAGGCCTGATGTGAGTGACTTAACATTTGATGTTTTCTATTAACAGAATTTTGTTGTTGCTGTCGTATTGTTGTAGAATTAGTTTAGATATATTGATGAAGTTCTCCCATGTTGATAAGAAGTGATCATTGCAGCTCATGAAGGAAAGAGTAACCCAGAGGACTACATACTCGTCGTGTTTGGATGTGTGATCTTGTGCTCCCCAGATTTGACTGGTGATTTCCTCCTCATGCTTATTTATAGCACAGTATACACATTCAACCCGACGTAAATTAAAATGGCGTCCAAAGCCGTTGAGGGTCACAGTCTCAGAGTTACCTCTCTGTGGGAAGCGTGACTTTATGTAGAATAAGTATGTGGAATAGTATTGGGATAGTGTTGGGGCACGTCTTTAAACATGCGTATGATCAGAAGTATCTATGTAATGTGTATATTCATATTATTGACATGCATTGAAAGGAAATTTTTTATCTACACACACACACACACACACACACACACACACACACACGCACACACACCTTTTCCCAGGAGCCCAGTGTGCCAAAGCCTCAACAAGAAGAAACACCAGCTGAAAGTCGGGATCGTACACCTGGTCAGAAGAGAGAAGTTCAGGGTGGACCTAAGATTCGAAGAACTGGGAAGGGTAAGAAAGAATGTGTATGGGGGGAGGAGGCCTATGTGTGCATCATGCCTTATGCCATGACCAGTAACAGGAGGATTGGGAAAGAATCTCAAGCCTTTATTGAGAGTTGGCTAGAAACGTGATGGGTATAGTTTGCAGCTTCCTGCAGTCCCTGGGTGTGAAGAATCTTCTCTTTTTCTTCGAGATGCATTTTGTATGCTTGAAAATACACTCCTTCCTAAATCAGATGAAACCATTTAATTGGTTGTATGAAAATGTACATTATTGCACTAATTTAATTTGATCTTCTTAGGATGTTGCAGTGTGATCTTCTCAGCCATGGCGGCCACGGTGTTGTAAGCACCCTTTAACAGCACGTGGAGTGCCAAGTCACCATACCTTATAACACCCTGAATAATGCCTATTTGCAAGGGGATGTTAACGTTAACCTCATTTTGTAAATAAGAAAACTGCGGCCAGGTACAGTGTCTCACGCATGTAATCCCAGCATTCTGGGAGGCCGAGGCGGGCAGATCACCTGAGGTCAGGTGTCTGAGAACAGCCTGGCCAATATGGTGAAAACCTGTCTCTACTAAAAATCCAAAAAGTAGCTGGGTGTTATGGCACATGTCTGTAATCCCAGCTAAGCCTGCTGAGACAGGAGAATCACTTGAGCCCAGGCAGAGGAGGTCGCGGTGAGGCGAGATCGTGCCACTGCATTCCAGCCTGGGAGACTGAGTGAGACTAGGTCTCTAAATAAATGAATGAATAAGAAAACTGAGGCTCAGAGACTGAGACTTAACCAAGAACACTTGACTCATGGAGAAAGAATTTATATTTTGTGCCAAGGTTTGCATTCTTCCCACCATCTATGTTAGAAAATGTGAATGATTTTGCTTAAAACTGCTTAATAGTCAAATAATGTCTGTACTGGAACATACGTCAGTATTGGCTCAGGAATAAATGCAGTTCAGTGAAGCAGGATAGGAACCCCAGAAAAGAGGCCAACGAACGACAGCCACTGTTTCCTTTGGTGTGTATTTTTGACAGTATGTTTGGTAAAAGGTGGATAATTCAGGACACTGGCCTACAGGTAACTATATTAGTAGGATTTTTAAGGGGCTTTTAAAAGTCATTTCAGTATTTTTATAATTATAAAACTCAAAGTATGATAAGATTATCACGAAGCAAATTGTTTCCTCAACAGATGGCATTTTCAAACTCAAGATAGACAGAATTTTGGCTATGGGCCATTTTAGCAATTCACTGTTAAGGGGGTTCTAGGATATGACAGCGATCAATGTCCATTAACTTCTTTACACATCAGTTACCATACTCTCATTGGAAGACAGTGATTTTGCTGCTGTATTTTGTACTGTTTCTTAATGACATTCATGTATGGAAAGTCACATATAGGGCCTTCGGACCGAAGCGTTACTTTAATTAAGATTAACCCCAACATTTTCAAGGTACCTCAACAGGGGATGAGTGTCATGACTATAAGATTTGTCATAGGCTCACCAACACATCGATTTACACCTTCAGAAAATTACATTAACTTTTGATTAAAATGCTATCTGTGGGCAGTCTTCAGATTTCCCGGGTAGCTATATGTTGATAATACACAGTGGTAAAGTATGGGGAATGTAGGTGTGGTGTGATTTATCCTCAGATTGTCATTTAAGATATCATAATACCTGGAAGACAAAGATGGGACGTCTTTGCATCACATTTATTACCACAGCAGCGTACAGGCTTTTATCGCGTAACACTGAGGAAAAGAATGTGATCATTTCCTCATTTATCATTCTTGTTTCGCTGCTCCAGCCTATATCCTTTGTATTTTTTAGTGCCTGGCCTGAAAGCTGATCTCCAGGAGCTGTCTCAGTCAAAGACTGGGGGTGAATGCGGAGAAGGTCCTGATGTCCAGGGGAAGATTCTGCCAAAATCAGAGGAACTTAAAATGCCAGAAGGAGGTACGTTATCCATTAAGATGCAAAATTATTTGCTTTCTGTCTTCCACAATATTATACTTTAGATAATAAAAAGAGAGAACATTACTGCCCCTTGAGAAACAGTCTGAATGCAGACTTTGTTCGGAAGGTAGTTCAGACCCCAGAATCCTGACTGCAGAACTGAAACACTATCAGATACAGACAGAAATTGGGTCAAAGCTGTATTTAATCATCAAATAAAAAAAGTTTTCTTCTGAGTATCACCAACAGCTAACAATTTTCAGACTATTTTCTCATTTCTGCTTTTCTCAAATACATTGTAATGCCACCTTGTATGAAATATGCTGACCCTGAAAGAGATTCTAGTACCAGCTCTAACACAATTTTTGAGATTCTGAACAAATCTCGTAAGTCCTAAACCCGTTTCTCTTTTATTGAAAGTAGTGAATGCCCATCAGATAGATTCAAATCCACTTCCACTTCAGTGCTGGTTTCTGGATGCTCTAGTTCTGTTGGAGAGAGTGCAGAGATATTCTTATGTTCATGATTTGTTTCTCATAATAATGAGCTTCAGTCCAATTACAATACCCAAGTTGAGATTTCATCGTCCCTAAGACAATGAGTGGGCACTCTGCTTGATGTTCGTTTACCTGTACGGAGACTTTCATGGGTGTTCTTGGATTTTCTCAAATCCTAAATTCTCTCAGGCTGTTAAAAATTGCATTTTTTTTTTCACACGGAGTCTCGCTCTGTCACCCAGGCTGGAGTGCAGTGGTCTGATATTTGTTCACTGCAACCTCCGCCTCCCGGGTTTAAGCGATTCTCGTGCCTCAGCCTCTCATGTAGCTGAGAGTACAGGTACATGCTCCCATGCCCGACTACTTTTTTAGTTTTAGTAGAGTCGGGGTTTCACCATGTTGGCCAGGCTGGGATCGAACTCCTGATCTCAAGTGATCCACCTGCCTTGGCCTCCCAAAGTGCTGGGATTATAGGGGTTGAGCCACCTCCCTTGCCAGACCCAATGATTGCATTTTAAAGTCTTCCTGCAGTGAACCCTTGAATGACTGAATAATAAAATGGAAAGAGACAAGTCACGTTTTCTGGCTCACGAAGTAGGGATCGTGCACGCAAATCTGTGATGTCCAAGCTGGTTGTAAGATGCCTTTGGTAGGCATGCTTGCTACTCTCCTGTAAGTCTTTGTGAACCCCTGTGTGTAATTAGACTGAAGACACACATGGTAACCTCTAACCATATCAGAGGTTATATATTACAGGTTTCTGCCTTGAGTCTTCAAACGATACGATTTAAACTTCCAAGACTCTAACGTACTAAGTCCTGAGTAGTCTACATAGGTATCTTTTATACATATTTTCCAAATTGCTGACTTAATTAAAAGAAGCTCTGAATTGAAAGGAAGCACTGCATGTTTAGGGCAGAAATTATCTAGATGTCTGTACTCCACGCTGCTGAACAACTTCATTAGACTATTTACATTAAAAGATTGCTTTCACACGATTTCCAGGAGCCTATTGAACAAACTTCAGTTGTATTCTTAGGATAGTCATAGCATTAGAAGTATGTCTTATTAAAATAGACAGTAAATTACATGATACGAGAAAATAATAAAAAAGTGATAAATGAGTCACAGAATAAACTTAAGGGGAAAGGACACAGGCAGTAAAAGAAAGAGGCGAATCATTAGCAAAAGTAAAACTAATCCGAAAGTAATACATTTGATAGATCTTTTTTTTTTTTTTGAGAACTAGCTGGGAAGGGAGCATCCAGTAGATTAAACAATCTAGAAGAAAATGGAAAAGGCACAACATGGAATATGAGTGAACAAGACACAGGTATTGAATGTAAGGCATAATTGAAAGGGAATACATTCCTGAACACTAATGTTTTCAGAGTGTGGATGAAACAAACGGTTGAAATGCCAGAAATGCCTACATTATTTAATATATTCCTGTAATACGTCAATATCTGAACATCACAAAGGCTGTGGAAGAACTTGTGAAATTTGCCAGTTGTCCCTCAAAAACAGTTAATTTTAGAAGGAAATATTTAACTTTTCCATGTGTCTAACTCTTCGATTTGTTTCCCTCTCCATTTCTTTTTTTTTTTTCCACACTGGTTATGATGTATAACTCTTTCACATTTTAATATCAATCATGATAGTGATACCTTAAAACTTATATGACCATTTAATTAATTATACAAACCAGAATACTTTCCAGTGAAAAATGTGTCATTATTTATATTGACATAAGGACTCTAGGTGAAAACTGGATGCAAATGGTTAGTGTATGTTAAAGAAAAAAGAAGGGCAAACTAGCTCAAAGGAATATTATTGCACTTCCACACAATAGAGAGAAAAAACACAAAACTGTCCTTTCTGTTCACTTCACTTATGTATTTCCTAATGTGACATTAACTGTTCTCTCAAAAGATAGTTCTCGGACTATTTGTTTCAAGCCAAAACATTAAATGATACATTGTTTCTGAAGGATTTTTTTTCAGAAATTCCTTCTGTTTCTTAGGTTTTTGTGTTCTGCCTGTAGTTTGAGTAAAACTCGACACAATGCTTCCTATCTAATCTAAGCCCGTTTTAATAGGTTCACTTGATTTAATGTGTTCTGGCCTTGGACTGTCTTTTGGTTTCCTTCCAGCATGAAAAGCAAGGTGTGCTCAAACAATGTTGCTGCTGTATATGCACGGAAGTGTATCATCAAAGTCTCTACAGAGGTCTAGTTGAATGTTAGCCATATGGTGACTCTTAGGCTTCTGTTTTTAGTCCATTGTATAAAACGAAAGCTTTGATGTCCTTTGCATACCTTTAATTTCGTCTGAATACCGTTGTGCTAGTAATGTTCCCTCCTGTTATGTTTCTCTTGCAGCGGAAGGGAAACCTCAGGTTTAAACGAAGACGAGCTGAAAGAATGCAAACTGAATTTCTCTGAGATGTTTGACTTTTAAAAATCTCAGTAAAGTTTTCCAGTTTTCTCCAAAGAAGCGTTGCACATGTTTTGTTCATTTATTCTCACGTAATAGACACTATTGAAAATTTTGGCCTCGTGCAGTTGCTCACACCTATAATCCAACACGTGGGGATGCTGAGGCAGGAAGATTGCTTGAGCTTGGGAGATTGAGACGTGCCTGGGCAACGTGGCAAAAACGCCTTCTCTACAAAAATAAATGAATGCATGCATGAATGTATACATGTATGTGTGTAGATGTGTGTAGGTGCAGTCCCAGCTACTCTGGAAGCTGAGGTGGGAGGATCCCTTGAGCCTAGGAGTTCGAGGATGAAGGTAGTCACGTTTAAGCCGCTGCAACTCCAGCGTGGGTGAATGAGACTCGTGCCTGAATAAAAAGCATAATTTTTCCCACTTTGTATTCTGATTTGGCTGGCATACACCTGTGTGATATTATGAAATACATATTTGGTGCTGGACCCTGCTTACTGTCATACAGCTACAATTTGTAAGAAACTCCACATAGTGATGCCTTTTTGTATGCTAGTGAGTTGACCAATGGCTGGGAGCTCCTAGGTAGCTCTAGGATCAGGGATTAGAGGGTTAGCCTTTCAGCCCCATCCCCAACCTTCAGGACATGGAGAGGGCTGAGGTTAAGTTGATATCCAGTGGCGGGCCAACAGTTCAATCAATCATGCCTATACAATGAAACCCCCATCAAAACCCAAAAAGCAGGGTTCAGGGAGCTTCTGCCTCGGTGAACACATGGAGGGTAGCATGCTCGTAAAGGCCATGGAAGCTCCCTGCCTCTTCCATCATCCCTTCCCCTATGTACGTCTTTATCTGCATCCTTTGTTAAGGTAGGCCATTTGCCACAAAATATGTGAGAATTCCCTAGGCTATAGAGCTGGATGAAAGAACTAGGGCCTAGGTAGACAAAAGGGGAAAGCAACCAGGGAAACTTGCTGAAGCAAAATTACTTGGATCCTACCTACACTGTCTCTTTACGGGCTATGGCATGACACAGCCATGGGATTCCATCCTGCCTCTCACACACTGGCTTTGAGACGATGGGCAAGACACTTACATCCTGTCGGCCTGTTTCCCCATTTCTAAAGTAGAAATTAGAATATTTACACTAAATACTTGCTATCAAGAATAAATGAAATAACATAGGGAGCAGATATTACACTGCAGATAAATGTACTGGTTATCTTTCCTTAATCCCTTTAACATTTCAAAAATGTTCACTCCATTGTTGTTTACAACTACATCTCTAGTATGCGTTAACTGCTTTGGAATTTCAAGTAAGAATATCAAGCCACCTTTTTAAATGCATTTGACTTCGGAACCTTATTTGACTTAAATATATAAATTAAATAGCATTGTGGCTGGTATCGGACATGACATGGATTCTGAAGCTGACTTGTAAACGACCCAGGTGTGACGAGGCCAACCCTGTGTCAGTAGTATGCATGTGATGCCATGAAGAGTAAGTCTATTCCAGTCAGGCAACACCACACAATTCAATATTGTAGCGTGTCAGGAGCTCACGCAGTCCCTAAGAAGCCCTGTGGTGGCTAACAAGGCCAAAAGGATCGCCAGTTCAGTTGCTGTTTCGGATTGTCATATATCCATAAATTTGGCGGGTAAGAAGACTGAGCCCAAATGGAAGAAAGTGGTTGATTACTTGCAGACACAGCAAAGGCAGGGTCAGCATTGTGTCAGCGCAGTGTTCGTAGACCCACAGTACGACACTGAATCGGAGCTACTCAGTGACAGCACAGATGGTGGGTCTCTCATCCTGTGAGGAGCCCACAGTCATACCCTGAGGCCAATTTTGAAACCACACGGAATCCTGAACCCCAAATCACACTTGACGGAGCTGGGACTATGGGACAGCAGGGGTGACCCAGCTCCAAAACATCCCACACAGAACACCTAGGGATGTCATCCATGCTCGTGAAGAGGAGGAACCTGTGTCAATGACCACCCTGAAATGACTGCCTTCTGACAGTTCCCCTAAACCAAAGAGGCAACTCAACTGTTTGTACTGGAGGAGGAACCTTAGAGGGAAAGGTCCCTCAGTGGGAGACTATGTTGGGAGACTTGGCCAGCTCCTGCCTGACGAAGCTATGTCCTTCTGAAGTTGGCTAACAAGGGTAAACTCTTGGTATGCAGGGGTATCACCTGTGCCCTCTGGGATTGTTCTTAAATATACACCCTGACTGTCCCATCACTGCCTCTTCTCTGGAACGCATCCACATCAGCTTCAGCCTCCTGGATGGAGTTGTGCTGAGCCTAAAACTATGGTTTGGGCTATATAAAAATGGTTAATGCAGAATCTTAGGAAGTCACCTGCCTTTGTCAGATAGACCTTCATCATTGATAGGATTTGTATAAGATGGCCATGGTGGGAAATCTGATATGTCAATTTTGCTAGGCTGTGATGCATGAGAAATGTTCACTTTGACTAGAGTTGATGTCTCTGTGAACGGTTTTCCTTTCATGAGAACTAGCATTTAAATCAGCAGACTTTGGGTAAACCTAATTGGCCTCCACAATGTGGGTGGGCCTCATCCAGTCCCTTGAAGGCCTTCAGAGAAGAAGACTGGGGTCCCCCTGAAGGTGAAGATGTTCTGCCTCTACACTGCCCTTGGATTTGTGCTCTCATATTGCCTCTTCTCCGGGTCTCCAGCCTGACGCCCTGCTCTCCGAGATTTGGACTTGCCAGTGACAACACATCCATGAGCTAGGTTCAAATTCAATCTCTCTCTCTCCACCCACTCACACACGCGCACCCAGCCACCCCCCACCACCCCCCCACACACACACAGAGGAACCCTAACCAATATGCTGCTTACATCTGGGACCCGTAAAGCACATAACTGAGATCAGTACTGCAGGTTTCTCTCACTCCACTGCACGGCTCCTGATGCAGAGGCCTGTGGCAGTCGCATCACATCCACTGACATCCATGTTACCCATCACTGTGACTCAGGGTTTGGTCATGCAATAATGTAGAGATCACTAGAGTTCCACAAGTGTTCCCTGCTCTCCTCCTGGCTGTGAGATCCTCTGATCTATTCTGCGAACACAGAGATCCACTGGGTTTGTTTCCAACCTTCGAGGAAGGACCTGGGAGCCTGGTGAGGGAGATACACCTTCAAAAGCTGTAACAGCAACGGGCACAGCCAGTGTGTTCACCAACTCATGAGAGATCACATTACCAACATCTCCCACTTAAGTTTCCCCGTCAACTAACAGCTTATCCTGGAAGTGATCACATTTCTAGGTCAGTTGGATTCTCCGTATTCTGTTTTCCCCAGGAATGTTCAGTTACAAAGGAAACTGTTACTGGAACGTTGTGTCAGAGTGCAACCCAACAATGGAATGCCGTGAAGTGGTGTGACTTCCAAAGCAGTCAATAAGGGTTTATAGGTTCCCAGATGAAGAAACATACCAGCCTCTCTCAGTTTACAGGGAAGTGACATGTATAGAAAATCCAGTTTATTGAAGACTCTGGAAAGAGATGTTTGCCTCCTTGTAACACTCAGTCCCCAAATGCCAGGAGCCCCTACCAATTATTCCAACAACCACAACTGCACTTGGAAATGTCCAATATATCCCAAACTAGGCGATGATAGTCTGGCTATAAACCACAAGTTTAGGATGTAAGGCAGTATCCTCAAACTTGTTATTTACATCAAAAGAATAGGAATATTGCGTTTGGTACAAGGGAAATAACATGGCACCAAGGAAGAGGACACAATGTAGGATGAAAAGAAGTATCCTCAAACTTGTTATTTACATCAAAGGAATAGGAATATTACGTTTGGTACAAGGGAACTAACAGGGCACCGAGGAAGAGGACACAATGTTTCCCAAGAGGGGTTACAGGCCCCTCCCTCCTCTGTCTTGCTTTGCTTTCTGTGATAAGAAAGTGGTACAGGGCTAGGCATGGTGGCTGAAGTCAGCCTCGGGAACATAGGGAGACCTGGTCTCAACGAAACAATTTCTAAAAAACAACCAGGCCTGGTGGGGCGTGTCTGTAGTCCCAGCTGCTTGGGAGGCTGAAATGGAAGCATCACATGAGCCTGGGAGTGAGCCATGATTTCTCTACTGCACACCGGGCTGAGCAAGAGTGAGACAGCATCTCAAATAAAACAAAAACAAAGAAAGTGTTTCAGGGCCATCTGGGGTGTGTGGTGAAGCTTCATTTCAAAGGTCAACCACTGCTATGGAACATTGATGCTCAGGATGTTTCTGTGGTAGTCACGGCTCCGAGATCCTGGCACTGATGTCTTTCTTGGCGAGAACAGCCCTCTCCAGGCTGGCACACAAGAGGAAGGGGCCTGGCTACCTCGTCAGGCTACTAGGGACAGCTGTCTGCTGTGGGATCACAGATGAGACCAGGAGAAGGACAGCTGAAAGGGGGAGAGGGGAGACTCCCTCCACAGGCTAGGGGCCGGTGTCTGTTAGTGAAGGGAAGATATTGGCCCTACATCCTGACATTGCTCCAGGCTCCCGTGGAAGGACAAGACGGGGCCAGAAAGAATCCAGGGCTGGTGGGAGGAACAGAAGAGCTGGTATCACCTCCCATCCTGTGTGTCCAACGGTCCCTGAGAGGAGCCCACGCAATTTTGGGATCTAAAAGGTTATTTTCTGACATTCCCTCCATTCACCACCCATGAAGAGAAGAGACTGAGATTAAACTGAGGCCTTCAGGGAGAAAGGCCAGACAGAGTTGTGAGGCCTCCTCAAATGTCCCTCTGCCCTACCCTTCTGGTGAGTCTCACACTAGTTCATCCTGTCCTGTGTTCCCGTGTGCTCTGAGGTCACTGTTCTCAACCTCATGTCTGTCCTGGGAAGAGTGGGCATATTGCAGACAGTCTTGCTAGCTCAGGGATTGAATAAGGTTTCTGAAAGTTCCCTAGGTTGGCCAGTAAGTTCGCAGATCCCAGGGCATCATTCTGACTACACTATATGAGATCCACTGGATGTGAATCCTGGAATCTTCATTTTAAAGGATCCTGGGTTCCAACTTACACAGAAGCATGTCTGAGAACTAGGAGGAGGGGAATAGTCTCCTTTCTCAGCTACACAGCTTCTTTCTCCTTTGTGAAGGTGTAGAAGGGACAGGTTTGGTGTGTTCTCTGATGTACGGACCCAAGACCTGTAGGTGAGGAGACACTGACATGCTGCCTGTTATGGTAATGACACACTCAGGGCACCGTCTCCAAATGATATCCAGGCCAATCCTTTCAAGTTTCCATCCCGTTTTTGTTGTTGTTGTTGTTGTTGTTGTTGTCCTTCAGAATTTCATTTCTTTTT